GGATGTTGTTGTCTGGCAAACCCATCAGAAGATTCCAGTATCTGAAGCCAGCTTTAAAATATTTGGCTTATATAATGTGGCACAGGATGTAGAGGGAGTCCAAGTTAACTGTTTAACATTTTGTTGAAAGCTATTGTAATCTTTCATGTAGGAAGTATGCACTTCTCTCACTTTACCAAAACACTCCCATGTGTGGACTGTTTGCTCTGAAAACTGTATGCATATCCAATGTTACATTAACACAATTACTGACAAAAATATTTGTTTGACAAACATTAAGGAAGCCAGAACAAATGATATGCATCATGCAGCAAAGACCAAAATGACATAGAATATCAGTCATGGACTAAATTGATACTGACGTTTATTTGCATGCATGTATAAATACTAATAAACGTTGAAATAAACATTAAATAAGATTAATAAATCCGTTAGAAGTATTTTTAATTGTTAGTTCATGTTAACTAATGTTAACAACTGAAACTTTAAGTGTTACCCAGTAAATTTAGTCAAAGCACACAGTCAGCACTCTGAATGTGTGTCAGTCGATTGGAATTTCTAGCATTGGTGGGTCTGACCCAGATTCTTAGCGTGACGTGAGTTCGGTGGTTGTGTCTTTTGGTTTGCATAGCAACTGTGTAAATGTCTGTCGAGCTTTGAGTGGATCAAGACATCTTTCGTTTTCAAAAAAGAAAACAAAAAGGGAAATTAACTAGCTTTAATGCAAGTTGCTGCCAAATGCTTGTCCAACTAGTCAGTGTGGTCAAGATGATGTTACATATACATAAAATCATTGAGCAGCATGGATCTGTTGCTAATTACAAGCAGATGATATTTTTCTGAGCTGTACAGTGATGCATAATAACTTCCAGATTTAAACTGCCCATTTACATTGTAGACCATTGACATTTAAGATCAGTATGTCCCTGTCAGGGTTATCGTACCCTTGAAAAAAAAATTGTCCCCTTTAATTTATTTATTTTCAATATTAGTTTAAATTGTAATAGTTAATCTCTGTGTGTGTGTGTGTGTGTGTATATATATATATATATTTTTTTTTTTTTTTTTTTTTCTTTTTTTTTAAACTCCTGTTTTCATTTATATTTTAGATAATGGAAATATTTTTTCTCTGAAAGTTACTGATTCCGGCTTAAGCCTGTTTTAATGCAGAGTTGTATATATACCAAAGATGGTGGCATATATATTGTGGTGGATGCAGTATGCATAAATCTTATCCTGTTGTCTGCACATATGTCTAACATGTGCACTGATAAAATAACATCAATACTTCCTTTTCAACAGGAAGGTATAATTAGGTTTTTGATTTGTCATTTTTCTGTGAACTCTGAAGTTGAGTGAGTGATGACAATAAGACAGTTTGAGCTGAGCAGAAGACAAAAGCCTGGGAATGAAGACCAGACATTTAACAGAGGAAGAGGAATTTTGATTTAAGCAGTTACAGAAGGCGGTATGAGTTGGAGACATGGTTCTTATTAAAACTGTAGGGTCTGGCGACTGTAAAATTAAAAAGAAACTAGAGTTGGCTGCTGTCCCGACTAATTCTGAGAGAGACAGTGTGCAGACAGAGAGAAGTTTGCATGCGTCTGCTAGATTAGATGAACCTTCTGAAATGAAAGCACAACCAAAGCAACAGTGTTCGGAAAAATATGACAAAATGATACTATGACTAAATATATACACCATACAGTGTTTCCCATGATTAGACTATAAAACGCTCTATATCCAAAAGCTCTATATATTTTCTTCAGCAAAAGAGGAGAAAAAAATAGACCTCCTTGAGTTTTAATGCTTGGGGTTGCCAGATGTCAAGAGTCCCTATCAGAGCATTTCCCTTAAAAGGACACATTTTCTGCCCTGTGTTTTACATGTTTTTATCTTTACAACCTGGCAAGCGTGTATTTGCTCCCTCCACCCTGCAGAAGAAGTGCTGATGAGCTAAAAAAAAGAAAAAAACATCTACATTTGGAGTTTAGCGATTTCCATTGAGATATTCTGCTCAAATGAAAGTGTAATACAGCCAGTCCATGTTAAACTAAATCCAAACGTGGATCTCAACTATTGTTTGTAATTGTGTTTGCAGAATAAAAGCACTTACACAATTTTTGTTGTTGGTTTAATAGAAAAACATGGATGCTATTTGGAATTAATATTAGGAATTTCGCTGTGTTATCTTTTGAGAGAAGCTTTTGAATTTGACCAGTTTTCATAATGTAGAAAGTGTGTTAATTTATTTGGTCATTTAAAATATCAGGATGCCAGATGAGGTAAAATAAACCACGTATATGAGCTGACATTCCCTTTATTTGTGCTTATAGGTGAAGACAGACTAAATGGGGGCAAAAAAAACCTGACATAAAGCTAATTCAGATGAAGGAAGAGATGGAGTAAAGGGCTGGTTCTCGGTTGGTTTTGCTTCAGGCCCTAGATTTCATAATGCACCCTACAAAAAATTGTTTATCATATAAAAGTAATCAATAATGTCCCTAAAATTAAACACTAAAATGTATTAAAATCATAATGAACTGAAAAAACCCCCAAAAAGAATATGCAAAATTCGGTTAAAAACTGATCTTAAGTTTCAATTGTCTGTCTCTGCAGACCGTAATTCAACACACAAAACAATTTTTAACAATTAAAATATCTCAGCAGAACCTGTATTTAAAATATTTGAAGCATTTTCTACACTTTTTTTTAAAGTTGACAGGTTGCCAATTTATTATAATTATGTACAATTATATTGTGTTTATAATGGTTTGATTAAAAGTGTTATCTTAACTTCCAAAGTCCCTTTGAAGTTGGCATAAAATGAAAATTCACCTCATCTACTGAAACACTGACATCGCTGTAACTTTTTGTCAAGAGTATATATTAATATGTCAAATTACAAATAAAATATGGCAACACAGTTATGCATAAAAAAGAAGGTTATTTAGCCTAAATTATTTAGCCACTGATTCCTGACAGGACCAACTATTATTCATGCACATTCCAAGGCAACCAAATCATGTGATTGGCTCTTTTAACTCAAACGAAACCATAAACCAGGTCTTCTGTTCCATTTGTTTTTCTATGAATAGTTGGTCTCTGTAACCTTATTTTGTCTTACAGAGCTATACATACCAAATCCTTTCAGCCTTTGATGTTCTTAATTACAATACATATTGAAAGCTCTTAACTGCATGAACTCTTACAGTGCGTGTGTGTGTGTGTCTTTCCTGGGGCCAGCGAAGGAGTTCTTCATTAGTTGACAGGAAATTGGGACAGAGAGTTCTCTAATTTTCCATAAGTGTTTCTAGTAAACTACCAACAACTAGCCTTTCCTCTGTGTATCATTAAAACTTGTCTGGCATTTATAGCTTCCTACATCTACAGCAGACAGAAAGACCAGCACGCCTCTCAGCACTGCAGTCTGCCTCTGGGTGTACGTTTGTCATGTTATTTATTGACGCTAAAGTCCATCATGGTTGCTGCCCATTTCCCAACATGCATTTGGAGATTTAAGACTAATATTCCTGGCATATTCACTTCATCAGACTTGGAGTCAATTAACATAACACACATTTCTCATCTGCCACGTTGAGCTACATGATGGGAAAAAAACAAGCAAAACTCTCTCCAATATTTTGAATTTGTACTCTAGTACCCATGTCAACCACTAGCTGTCAATATTACATACTACACCTTTAAATATCAACTCAATTTACTAATTCCCAGCAAAAATATAGTTGACGTATTTGATTCACTTTTTTTTTCTTCGTAATCAATCTGAAATCCAAGTAAAAAAAAAAATGTTTTTGTGCTGATGCTTACATTGTTGCCATCGCAGACAGTCAGTCCTTAAAAACGACTCTGAAATTGAATTTGTGTGCAATGTGAACAAAGACACAGAGACTCAGAACCTCACAGCAACCCCTGACAACCACCCAGAGCACCCTACATGGGAACATGCTAAACATCACTCGGAACATGTTATGAACTACATAGCAATGTTTTAGCACAGAAGAACACCTTAGCAACTGCAACATGTTAGCGACTGCATACTTTATAAAGCAGCACTCTTAGAACTAGCCATAACACCTTAGCAAACGCATAGCAGCCTGCTAAAACTCCTGAAGAACACAATAACACTGCCTAGCAACACCCTGCCAACCACTAGCACACTGACAACTACCCAGAACACCCTACCAACTTCATGGCAACATGCTAAAAACACTCAGAACATGTTAATCACTGTATAGTAACACCTTGGCAAGTGCCGATAGTCCGTGGGCAGTGCACCAACATATAGCGCCATTGCACTTTGTGTGTCCCGAGTTCGAGTCCTGTCTCGTGGTCCTTTCCCAGTCCCGTCCCCCTCTCTCTCCCAATAAAGGCAAAATTGCCCAAAAAAATACATCTAAAAAAGAAAAAAGAAACACCCTGGCAACCACCCACAGCAGCCTAACAACTGCATGGCAACATGCTAGAAACTATTCAGAACAATGTTATCCACCGTATAGCAACATCATGACAGCCACCCATATCGCATATCAACTTCATGGTAACATGGTAAAAAAAAAAACTCAAAACAAGTTAGCCACAACACAGCAACACCTTGGCAACCAACCAACCTGCTAAAAACCCTCATAACATGTTAATCACTGTATAGCAACACCCTGACAACCACCCACAGCAACCTAACAACATAGCAACATCTTGGCAACAATGCCAAATCCCTAGCAACTTCATGGCAACATGGTAAAAACTCAAAACATGCATAACAACACCTTGGCAGCCACCCACAGAACCCACTCCATGTAAATTACTTGACAACTACCTAGAACACCCTAGCAATTTCATGGCAACATGGTAAAAAAAAACCTCAAAACATGTCAGTTGCCACATGGCAGCACCTTGACAACAGGTAATCACCACACCACATTTTCGTTAGAAATTTTTACATTTGAAATAATTTGTTCTGTCTTCTCTTTCTCTCTCAGGGTCGCTGTATGAACTTCACTCGCATCAAGTCTAGTCCCTCTCCACGCTATCCATCCTACAACCACCATTCTTCACCCATCTACACCCCTCCATGCACCCTCAGCCCACCCCCTCCTCAGGGCCAGCTGCCCCCTCCTCCACACAGTCCACCCGCCTCCCTGTCCTCCGGCTTTCCTTCGGCGCCTTCTACGCCCCCACCTCACACCATCAACCCGTCTCCACCCATCACTCCTCCTCCATCCTATTCTCCACCCCCTGTCTGGTCCTCGTCTCCTAACACTCTCTACTTTTCTCTGCCCACATCTCTGCCCTCTCTTCCACCATCTCCTCCTGCCTCCCTGCCTCCGCCTCCTCAAGCCCCGCCTCCAGGAAGAGCTCCTCCTCCAGATCGCCCACCTCCACGACCTTGTGTGTAATGTGGCACATTTGAGTGGACTACTACAAGGACTGGAAGTAAACAGGAAATATACATTTACCATATCCTCCTCAAGATTCCGTTGCTGTGTGGCCTAACGCAATACAACTCGATACAAAGATCACCTGTGGCATCAAGGGCATTTGCTTCTGTGAAAGAACAATGAAATGGAATACAAGCCACCATGAAACTCTACAGGGAGCAACACTCAGAATCACACACCAGGCATTGCAAAGAAACGGAAAATTTACATTCGAGTTTGTCAGCAGACGCCATTTGTGAGTTTAACCAAGCTTTGAGAATGGAAGTGGCTGGTTCCATTAATGGATTGGTGGCTGATTTACAATTGCATGCACATGGGACCATCTCATAAAGGAGATTTCCACAATAGAGGAAAGATGAAACTTTTCGGGAACTTTCTGATTCAGAGCAATTGAGAAAATATATGCACATTTTGACTAGCTTCACCATATACAGGTCTTTATTAAAAAGGCAAAACTAAACATTGGGTCTCATTTACTAAAAATTGCGTGGGTTACACTTGTGCGCACAGGAAAAAATTCTGCCAGATTTAAAACTATGCACATGAATTGGATTTTAACTTTCTAATGTTGAAAGACTGCATACCCTTGATTACTAAATTGCTTAAACACACCCATCTCTAAATAAGGGTTTTATGTACAATAGAATGCAACAATCATGTTCCAGAAATTAAAATGCCATTCATTAGCTGTTTCCATCCACTTATTTTTATGCGCATTTTGGGATATTGCATAAAATAAACGCTGAATGGAAATGCCAAGATGCCCATAAATCCTAAAAATGCGCATAAAAAGACTTATGCGCTCAACTGAGTCGGACACATTTTTTATCCAATAAGAAAACATGCATATAAACTATGATGGCAACACATTTACTGAATAAATTACTCGATGTGCATCAAAAAATGTCACGTGACTTTGCACAATGACCGCGTTTATTGCATTTTGTCTGCGCACTCATTTATTATATATGGAACAAGACCCAGAGTGGCTTCTCCTACTGCAGCAAATTACCTATTTTTTTTGTGATATTTGGTGCCAGTTTATCAGGAAGTCACGATTTTGTTCTCTTTGTCTCGCTGGATGGAAACAGTGCTTTATTCACAAATATGTTATGCGATATTCCAATTTTGTGCATAAGTTAAATTCGCAGCTTTGGATGGAAACATAGCTATATTCTCCAAAGGGAAATTGATTTTTAACAATAACTGATTAACCTTTAAAGACAGACCTACTGTGAGCTCCGAGGTTGTTAATCGATATTATATACTTTTGTTGAACCCATCTGTTCGCATTAATTCAACTTATTTTTAAAACTATCTTAATAGCATAATTCTTGGTAAAAAAAACAACTAAATATCCCATAATGCTGTACAAATTCACTCCAATGAAGCAACTCAAAAAATAATCAAGTCAGGCCTCCCACACTCTCAAAAAACTACATATGTACAGTATATACAGTATATATAATATGTTGCAATAAAATTTACATATATAACGTTATATAACTATTCAACTTTAAATGAATCGTTTTAAATTAAATTTTTTCCTTTAATTTAAATGAATGGGAAAAATTCTAATGCAACCTGCTGACAAAATGGGCGGGCACTAATGTACTCTATGGAAGCGTACATGTGATTTCAGTCAGTTCTAAATTTGACTGTTAATTTAGAATTTTTAATGAGAACATGCTCATGAATCATGATTTCTGCATGAAAATGTTTGTACAATGATTTTACGCACAAATATGCGTGTACCCTGCAGTAAATGTGACCCAACTGTGTCTGAATCATTCTTGATGAAAAGGTTTTCTTTCAAAAACTAAATGTATTTGCAAAATTCAACCATTTCACTCACATTTTTTGGATGCCATTTATTTGTGCAATAGTGATTTTAGTGGCTTTGATCGGGATGGGGGGCATGTTGCTTTTTGGTCTTTGAATTTAAGTACCAGACCATAATGAATTAAAGGAATAGTTCATCCAAAAACAGAAATTCTGTTATCATTCTATGATGATGAACTTATAGTGTTTCCATTTTGGGCTGTTCCTTTAGGATGATGTATGTTGAAGAGACTAAGGTGTTTATGGGCACGGACTTGAAACATCAGAGACAAATCTGAAATGTATGTAAACTAAGCAACATCACCTTACTTTGCACATGTCACAGTTGTAATGGTGTATGGGTGCATTATTAAAAGATTTAGTACAATTTATCATGCATTACACATGCTGTATGCATACATCTATGTATCCCTGTGTTGTTTTTTTATATAAGGTTTTCTTTTTTTGTATGTTTTTTTTTTTGTATTATTGAGATTGTTAATCATGCAGAACCAAAAGAAGATCTCCCAGCAAGAGTTCTATAACCTCTGCTTTTTTATCCACCATGAATAACCACAGCAGAAGATTACAAATAGCCTTTCGCATTGGAAATGATTTTTGCCAAAGAAGCTATTTACAACCCACATTTGATATACGAGTGTTTTTGTTCATAATTACATGTTGTATATAATATTGTCATAATACATCAAAGTGTCAATTTCCACAGTCCTTTGCTTCTAAAGAACCCTTGTCATTTTCTGTTGAGTCTAAGTTATTAGTTATAAGTGCCACTATGATGCCAATGTTGTGTTTATATGTCTCCCAAACCCTATTTTGATGAAGGTTTTATGGGTAATTAACAGCAGAGAAATACATATATGTCCATGGTAAATCATATGCTTTTTAAAGGAATCGTGAATATGAATCATTCTCTAAATGACTTGGATCATGACTACATTGTTTTTTACTTTAACTATGTTCTTTTGTTTTGAAATAAAATGTTGTCATAAAAGTCGTACTGGATTGCATGTGTTTCATGGGTGGTGTGACTCTTTGCATTCAAGTCTTTTTTATTCAATCCTGTTATACTGTGACAATATTCCTAGACATCATATTTAAGGGCGTGACAAAAATTGTTACCACGTGGTTCAAATAGAAGTAACGTTCTTATACGTTGTATACGTTATAGTCTTTATTGCTTACTATATATACTGTCGAGTTCAACTTCATTACAGTGCTGGGTAGTTGTAATCTGGATTACGAAATCAGATTTCAAAAATTGAGTTCATGTAGGTTATATTACATTTTAAAATGCTCATAATCAGATTACAGTTACTTTTTTATGGATTACATGATTACATATTATTCATAAAATGGCAGTGAGTTATTCATAATTTATTGATTCTCCATAACGCCGTAATTTCTTTCTCTGTTAAAGTTTCCAAAAATCCTACTGTGTGCCATACCGTTTAGCTTTAACTCATGACATAGAATGGCCATGTGAATGTCATGTAAATAAATCTGTAATCCATGCTTCTTAATTTGGGGGTTGCACAGCATCCCTCAAGCAATTAGTACATGTATGAATTTTTTTTTTTGCAAGTTACTCAACACTGGCGATGTGTGAAACACTATGTCGTCATCATATCCAGTGACCTTCAGAACCTTCACTGTTGATTCTGGAAGTCTGGACAAAAATATTTCAAACTTGGAAGACTCTGGGTGTGTAATGTCATTGTTGTGTTCACGTTTATTAATGTTTGTTCATGCAGAGCAGGGATTCCCAAATGTTTTTGTCAGGCAAACCGCTTTGACATAAAATAGTTACTTGAAATATCTCTGAGGAAGTTAATATTTCAATCATTTAAAGGGGTCATATGATGTTGCTAAAAAGAACATTATGTTGTGTATTTGGTGTAATGAAATGTGTTTATGTGGTTTAAGGTTCAAAAAACACATTATTTTCCACATACTGTACATTATTGTTTCTCCTCTATGCCCCGCCTTTCTGAAACGCGTCGAGTTTTACAAAGCTCATCGGTCTGAAAAGCGAGGTGTGCTCTGATTGGCCAAAAACATTAAAACCCATTATAAACGAGGCATTTGTTGCATCCAGTGGGGACATAATTATGGATTATAATGACTTATACTGTCTTTTTACGCATTGCATCGCGTAAACATAAAACCATGTCTGCATTTGTGATCGGAGAAATGACAAACAACAAGCGCTACTCTACACTGCTCAAAACTTAATGCAATATTTAATGCACTTCATGATGTTGATCAAATCAAATTGATCTAATAATAGAATTCAATTTCTTTCTCTTTGCTTTTTCATATCAATATGGTACATTTAATGATAAGTTCAAAACAAAGTAGGTAAAAAAGTAATCTAAAAAGTAATCTGAATACATTACCTAAAATGAGTAAAATAGATTATGTTATTAACTACAATTTTCATGATGTAATGAAAATGACTACACTTTGTAAGTAATCTACCTAGCACTGGATATTTATTAGACGATCTTGTGCTGATTTTCAACCCCGTAACATTCAACCCCAAAACATTTTCAATGTACAGTCACAGGGTTGACAACATTTTAATCCATTTTGGAAAGAGAAATGTCAAAGGCTACTTGGATCTCTGTGTAATTTGGTTATACAATTTTATCTAAACTTCATCTGATCTTAAGTGTGTTCAGAGAAATAACAAAAAATGATACAAATGATTTCTTCCTGGGCCTGTGTTGTTTTTGATAGACATCTCTGGCAGCTCAGCCATCTCTGCTTAACTAATCCCCTTTAGACCAGGTGTAATTTAGTCCAGACAGCCGCTCTGTCAACATGCGTACAGAAAGCTGGCGTCTCATGAGACAGAGACTATAAACCACTCTCGCCATCATAGCTGTGTCCAATTTCAAAAGGCAGTTTTTATCCAGTGTCTAAGCACGAGCCCAGCAAGGTTTGGCATGAAATGTTTCAAGTGCAGCCAAAGATAAGCAAGTTAAACTCTGCTGGAAGACTAAATTGGGATTAGTATGCATATTTTCTCCAGCGGAGCCCACGAGACCTGCGTAAACTGTTTTGTGTTCGGATCTATTACGAAAATCGAATGTGATGTTTTGTAGTATAGCTGGTATTAGTTCAACTCTGTCTCTCTTGCTCTTTTACTCTGATAGTTATGTTTTATCTGTTTTCTTCACTCTTCATTCCCCCTCCTTCCACTCCCCATTACCTCTTTTTCTCATATACTTCTTACAGTTATTAATGTGAAATACATTGTCTAAACCACACACATCTGCAAACAGTGCTGGGTAGTAACTGATTACATGTCATATGGATTGCATAATCAGATTCCCAAAATGTACTTGTTAAAGTACATTTTAAAATACTCGTAATCAGAATACAGTTACTTTTTTTATTACATATTATTCACACAAAAGCAATAAATTATTCATAATTTATTGATTCTCCCAAATTCTTCTTTTTCATCTTTTAAATTTCCTTTCTAAAATAGCCTACCGCTTATATACACTCAGAAAGTCTTTCAGTTTTGTGGACATTCACACAAAGACCAGTCACTAGTCAGCTGGCTATAATTACACTGACAACTGAGAGTCCACACAGCATTTGACCACTGGATTTACAGAAATCATTTCAATTTTAAGAAGTCAATTCTCAGCATTTC